CGAGGAAAATTAAGTAAAAAAGTTTAGTTTTTTGTTTGAAAAGGTGATATCTTAAGAGAAAAAATTCTTTTTAGCAGAACTAGATTTAGAAATATGGTGTCAAAATTTACTCATTTCAATCACTTTTTCAGAATTAATAAGCTGCATTTTTACTACAAAGAAATCAATAAAGTTGGTGCTTTTCTTTTGTTGTTGAGTACATAATTCTAATGCAATATCATTTGTATTAAATGTACATTTTTATGCAAATTATGAGTTTAAAACATCCATAGCCTCCAGAGCGTCAATTAAATTAAGGGCCGGCTCCAAGTCTTCATCCTCAATTGTTTGTGGTTTTGTATTTCGGGTCATAACACAGAGGCGAGAAAAAAAAGAAGCAATCTGACTAGGTTGAATGCATTCCTCTGGTTGAAACATTTTGTGTCCATTTTCATCTCTACAAACACGCGTGTTCCTAGATACATCATCTGCATTTGATTTTCTGCCACTTTGTTCACCTGCGTTGAATATAGCCCTAAGGTATGTTTTGACATTTTCTGTAAACCTCTGATTTTTCCTTTCCTTTTTTATTGCCCAACCCATATCTGATGAAGGTGTACCTGAATTCAATTTAGAATCTCTCGAAACTGTGGCATGTTCGGCAATATTTAAGCAAGACTCCTTCCACTTAATTTTGATGTTGTCATAAGTGGAACTTTGATTTAACTTGATCTGGTGGTTTCCGAGAAGGATGTGGGACTCGAGACCAGAGTAAGTCTGGAACACTCTTGAGCAACAAGGTTCTATACATGAGAATACATTAGATGATGGTTGCATGGTCTCATTGTTGTTGCTTTCCACAGGCAATTCCACATCAACATTATCAGGAACCAAATCCTGGGCTTTGTAAGAAATGCTTCCTGCTTCCTTTTTTGGAACAACAAAGTCAGCAAGGACAACAATTTCTGTTGAAGACAGTGGGGAAGGACAGATCTTCTTTATTTGTTCTTCTGACAACACATTCCCACAACCAACTTCAAAGGCTTTAAACGCAATGATCTGGTTTTCTCTGAAAATTAAAAATAACTGACCTTTACAAATCATACTACTTTAATTTCAAATAAAGTAGATTATTATTCCAATAAATAACAATGAACTTCACTTGAAAACAATAAATATATCTGTATTTCATGTCGGAAGAAAATTTTTTTTAGTTAACATAATATGCCAAGTAGTCGATGAATTTGCACTGGCCAGAATTTATCATATTTCAGAATTATTTAGCTGATTTTGAACATTTTTGCAAAACAGCAGTTCCATGTCCATTCATCTGTGGCAAACATGACATTATACTGTTTTGTTCATTCTTGTTATGTCCCCGTTGAGGTGGACTTTCCCCCTTAAAATGATTGAATATAATATCAATAAGTTTTTCATGTATGCTAATGGAATATTCTAATGCAATTCTTTTGTAATGATAATTTTCATTGGACTTGGACAAATATTTTGAAGAGGTCACCTTTTGTCAACGTTAATCTAATACTGAAATAAATATACATTTGTAATTGATATCTCAGTTATATCTTGAAACCAATTTGAAATTTTGTCCCCTCCTTCAGGACAATATTTCACTATGAAATTCTGTCCATGAAATAAATTTCTAAATCAAATTATTACAAACCGTACCCAAGCATGAAGCATTCAAATTTTTAGATTTATTGCTGAAATTATTTTGTGAATCATGTAAACATTTTACATTTGAAAGAAATATTTTATTTAAAGAAGCTAATTTAAAATTTGCATTATATAATTTATAAATTTTGGTGAAGCCAGTAAAAAGAGAAATGAACAGAATAAAATGCATTTATTTACCTTAACTCTATATTTGAAATCTTTGATATTCCTTTCCATGTATTCTTGATCTTACTGGCTTCTCCAGCTACCTGGGAATTTATCTGGACGTGTGCAGCTTGACAGCCCATTACACCACCCAATGAATCTATGGCGTTCTTCATTTCACCTGCTGTTTTGACATTATTCCCAGAAGAAACATATTGACGAATCTTACATCTTAGATGGGCAATCTTTGCATCACAATAGGATTTACCATCCTGCGCCTCACTAAAGTCATATCTCTTTATTGTGATTCCTGAAACAAATATGTCCTCTTTTAAAATAACTGTTCTGACAAAAATTATTATAGGATTCATTGATTTTTTAAAGGAATTCATTGGTGTATAAACTCGACCAAGTCACTCCCAAACAAATATAAGTCCAAAGGACTTAAAAGTCTTTTTTGATATGTTTGTGAGTGACTTAGTCCAGTTAATACACCAATAAATTCCATTTAGAAATGTGTTTAATCCTTATAATGCTTTATATAAGGAGATAAGTAATTTGATTCTCCAATCGTAACCTCTATCACAGGTAAATTGTAAATTTGTGGCATTGAATGGACCTTGTTCATGCATATTTTTTTGGTTAACGCCAAAAAATATACTCCATGAAATTTGCTATTTTAGAGAATACACTAAAAGAATATCTTTCAAATAAATGTTTTTTGTTTATACATGTAATTTAATTTGATGATGAACGAGAAATGTAAAAGCATATATTTCAAGTCAAGCTGGTTTGTGCTATTATTGCTGCAATCTTGTTTACATTGGTTACAAAAAGTAGTTCTGTCAGCATCATCTATCGAAAAATAAACAACGCCATGATCCACTTCAGGAAGCCCTCTCCACCAATCATATTAAACTATTTTCTTATATGCATATCATATAAGAATTATACAGTGATAACACAGACCTTTATTATATGAAGTAATATTTTTCATTATTCAAATATTTCATTTTTTTTTCTAAATATTCTGGAGAGTTCAATAAAAATTTGAAAATATTGGTTTTCTTTTTCTAAATCAAATTTAAATTGAAAAGTCATGCATGTTCTATAATTATGTTTTCTGTATTTCGATATAAGCAGTAATTTTCTGTACATTGCTTTACAAATTTATGCTTCACAACATATGTAATTAGTAAGAACAATTGTTTGAAGAATGATCTACATTTTCTTGAAATTCTACAGAAATACAAAAATATATTGTCATTCAATAGAAGCTATGCATATCATACCAGTTCTTTCTGAAATTCCATCAAGGGATAACCAGGTGTTTCCACAATGATAACAACCTGCATTATCACTTCTGAGGTAAGCTGATGTAATACAAGGGAGTTGTTTCTTCAAAGTGTTCAATGTGTGTTCCAAAACAGACACAACTGCAAACCAATCTTGTTTCACCTGGTCAAATATATGGGTATAGGTCCTATGCTGTAAAAGGAAAAGAAAATGATACAATTTTACTCCATCTTTCTTTAAAAAGTAATACAATTTCAACAAGTTTGGACACACAAAAATGTCTTGCCAAAATATTCATGTACAAAAGCCTTAAGCCTATAATATTTACCAAAGTATAAAATTTGATGAGGATGTAAACGGTAAAAAAGAATTTCTAACTATTGATAATGAGAAATTTACCTATGACTCTACCTAGACCATGATGATAAAATCAAGTTTAGTTGACACATGTTAGGCTGACATGTCCACATTACAAAAATACTGTTGACTTATCATATCTAGTCAATTTATATCTCAAATATTGCTGATATAATAATACTATTGATAATAATGAAAAACTAAGCCCTATAAAGTTTTTTATGAATCTGCATAAAAAATGAATCATGAATAAAGGTCATGGTCAGCATTAAGGTGCCTGACTGACAGGGTCATACAATAAGCTACATAGACATCAAATTGTATATTCCTAGGCGAACTTGTATAGTCTTGAACAGATGAACAATTCCTGAAATGTACAGCTTTCCAGTTTCAAAAGTTACCTTGCAACAAGAAACGTAGTTGCTATGTCTTGAAATCAAATACTTGATATACCAGCTTGTAGAATTCACATTCACAAGGTGTAATGTATATACTGGTAGGTGTAAAAGGGATTTAATTCAGGTGATTTCAAGACTTTTTGATTTTTTCAATTGTACCTTATAATAAAGTAACTGATAACATCAGTTATAAAAAGTAATCTTAGTACCTTTAAATTTGATTCATCGTCTTTGAAAATGCACACACACACATGCCAATTTATGCCCTTTTGTGCATACCAGTCAGACTGCTTTTCCCTAAATGACAATGGCAGGAATTTCATCGCCCAGTCCATTATAATAAAAACTTCTTCTTTCTTCAAACTGCCTAGCAGAGCTTGTCTACATCTATCTTGATTGGCACAACGAACCAAGTGCTGCTTCCAAGACAAGATATTGCATTCTCCTACTTCAATATCATGAAGGAGCTCAGACTTAAGTTCCACTGGAATATCTGCATATGATAAAAGAAATAAATTAAATATTGATGATTATTTGTATTGAAGTTGAAGAATTCAATGAACATTAATGAAATACCATGATATGTGTTGCTTATTGTCAAAGACATTTTTTCACTGATATATATTTTGAGATTTAGGTATAGTTTCTAATATTTAATCAAATAAAGTTAGAGATTATTTTTCTAATTAAGACGTTTATATGTAATGACCAATAACCTTAAAAAGATTCCACAAAATATGTTTAATGTTTATAAACTACAAAAAAAACTTTAAGGTTAAGTTTTTTTTTATTAATTGAATTGTTTCAAATGTTTTATGTTGAGGCCTTTTATAGCCAACTATATGATACGGGTTTTTCTCATTGTTAAAGACCTAATAATTGCCCATATTGCTTACATCCACTTCATTTGAACTTTGGTGGATAGTTATCTTATTGGCAATCATACCACTTCTCCTTATTATTATATTGTTCAAAAAACATTTAAGCAAACCTGCAATACAGTAAGATAATACTTGCCTTTCTCTTCAGATGTAACTCTTTTGAGGTTGATTATAGATCTGGAGAAGAGTTCACATCTATCACAAACCATGTAATGGCTGTGGGTACATTTCTTTTGAAGTGTCTGATCTTTAGGATCAGACAATGCAAACATCATGCAGTGGTCAGGGCATTGGTCAGCAAGTGATGTATGCAGTTTGAAGTCAGTTTTTATATATAGTTTAAATAAATGGAGATCTTGCTCAGTCTTCTCTAAATCATCTTGTACTTCAGGGCTAAAATTCAAACAAAAAAATTAGTTGCATTACATTTACAATGTTTACTAAGGTAAAGCTTCTAGGAATTTTAATGTAATCTACAACATGTGCAAAATTAAACAAGTGAAACTGCGAGCTACTGCTCACTGATGATACCCCTGCCTCAAGTGGATAATTTTTAAAGTGTAAAAATATGTAAGTGTTCGGTAAACCGGAAGTTGTTGAGTGATGAATTTAAAAATGCATCACACGGTATAGCTGACTTATATAAACCCTGAAACCAAATTTCAGAAATCCTTGTATTGTAGTTCCTGAAAAAAATGTGACGAAAACTTTCAATTTGTCTATCATGTGTAAAATGATACAAGTGTTCTGTAAACAGGAAGTTGTTGAGTGATGAATCTGAAAATGCATCACACGGTATAGCTGACATATATAAACCCTGAAACCAAATTTCAGAAATCCTTGTATTGTAGTTCCTAAGATATATGCGACGGAAATATTCATGGGATGGAAGGACGGACTGACGGACAGACAGAGGTAAAACAGTATACCCCCACTTTTTTAAAGCGGGGGTATAACAATGTCTTCCCAAATGTTTTCTTCTAGAGTACAGTGGCCATAACCATGCATATACTGAGAACAAAACTTGAAAAAATCATGATATGAATGCAGTGAGCATCATAATAATACATCTTTCATAGCCTTAGTTTCCAGGAAATTCATTTTGCAACACTTAAATCAGGCCCATGAATTGACAGATTAAATCAAATTGGCAATCAATCACATGTACATCTAGCTATATGCAATGGTTGGTTGCTAATCATTTATAGATCAATTGTATACATATTTTCAATTTTGAGAACTGTGAATTGATCACTGGCTGTCTCTTTGGCAAATTACAAAAATAGTGACATTTTTATAAGAATAACAATTAACCTTGACTATTCCTGAGCTTTTATTTTCCATCTATACAAATAAGAACTTACTAAGTTAAATAAAGTTTAAGCTGCTTTTTGACTTCATCTAAAGTGTCAAATGCTGTGGATCCATCAGTGGCAATATTGTCCAGGCCTCTCAAACTCGTTCTTTTGGAAGCTGGACAAACCCTCAAAATTTCAAAAAGAGATGATCTGGATAGTGGATCAACATCTGATTCTGTGCAGAAGGCTTCATACATATGGACCAAGTTGGCATGGCAAACAGTTCGAACCACTTCTGGTATTAAAATCTTTTCTCCACTATTCAGTTTCATTTCTTTGGTTCCATATGAGCTGACCTAATAATCAATACAATTAAAAATATACTAGTATTCATTATGATATTTTATGCCAAATTTCAACCACCCTCCTTGGTATCTAAATGACACCAAGATAATACAATCGTTACTGGGTGTAATTTCAATAATTTCAGAGGGAGTCTTTCAGCAATTTGATCATATGTTATTGAAAAGCATGAGAAATGCAGGGTATCTAATTTCATTTAACAACATCTTGGTGTTAATATACATTACTTTAACCGATCTAGAGTTAGGCCCCTTTACAAATGGAAAAACTGCTGAATTGTTAGTTTCTGTTCTCTGGCTTCAGTTTGCCTCAACCAAATGTTATACACAATACTTATTGCCACAAAACTCAGATCCAGTACAAATTTGGGTAGTTTCACTTTCACTGCTCTTCAGTTATGTCCCTTTATAACTTTATATGATATGAATGTATCCATTGTGTCCCATGGACACATTCCCCTTTTATTTTTATAAGTTTGGCATTAAAGACCATCAATCTTAGACAGGAAAAAATCTGTAACATAAAGATTGCATGAGAAAATGTTATACCTGATGAAATAGAGGATTGAAGAAGAAATCCAAGGCATGAGCAACCTTCCACTGTGAAAGTCTTTGACGGTGTTGCTTGATTTGTTTTGGAACTTGTGAACCTGAAAAAGAAATAGTATGCACATATTTAAACAAAATTAAAGAAGCTAGCATAACTTCAGTCTCTTTATAACTAATAAAATCAATATAAAAAGAAGTTCTTCTGGTTACTAGTTACTATATATTACCATGGATTCTTTCTTTTGCCAAGTGCATGATTTTAACTGACAACCTCAGTGTTAACAGCATAGTGATACAGTAGTTTTATTACTTAGACCATTTAAGGAATGACTGTAATATTTTTTCTGTCTATGACGAAATAACATAAAAAATGTGGTGCACATTGAATAACCCGCATAGTGGGTTATTTAAAAGTGTGCACCACATTTTTTATGTTATTTCGAAAAGACAGAAAAAATATTAAAGTCATTTCTTATAATTTAATTCTAAAAAGGAGTAAATCATGATAAAAATGTTGATGACGTCGCGGTCACATGACAAAATTATGTCTATGAGCTGATACACAAAACACTTTCAGCCAATCAGAAGACGTGTTACATCCAAAATTAAATTATTTGGCCATAATTAAACTCCCCATCTCTTTTTTGATCTAAGAAATTTGTCTTATATACTTATAAGCTATAGGTTTATATAATACCTTCTCCATGCACTGAAGCATGTAGTCGTGCCTGTCTATACTATAAACTGTCAAGCCTGGAATCATTTCCTGTAGCTGTTTCTTAGTATAATCTTTTGCCAATATTGACAGCATCTGTTTCTTCATGTTGAAATCATTGGTGTTATTATACAGTTTTACAATTGTGGTCGTTAAATCAGGGACTGGTGAAACCTGTTTCTCCATCTTTATCAACTCTGTTAGCTCACTAGCTTGACCTGGAGCCAAACAATCCATCAATGCTTCAATGGCAGTTGTAGCTTTACGTTTAAGCATACGTTTTGATGAAGGATGTAGTGAGGCTATATCTGTTCTGACTTGATATTTCAATGGACTTATCTTACCATTTGACAATAACGACAGGGCAGTGTTGACATCATCTAAAAGAATTTCCCCTTTCTTTTCATCTGTACTCCAGCTAGAAGTTTGAGATAACTATATAAAGAAAAAAGTTACAAACAACATTAAGATAACTTTTATGAGTAAGCTAACATGTACAATCTGCTTATAGTAAATATGTTTAATTGACTTGACCACATAATCAATAAGGAGTTTCCTCTTACAACCTGTTCACACAAATACCATGTAAGGTTACAGTCCCATATGAAATGTCTTAATAAATATCCTTAAACCATTTTATTGTACAAACTACTATCATTTTTTTTTTTAGAAATTTGACCTTGATTGACCTTACATATTGCTTTTTTATTTTATTTGACAATATACGCAATCTTCTATATGTTATATAATCTATCTGAATAATAATCTGGAAACATTTTTTTGGCACAAGTAACTATGACCTTGAACTGTGATGTATTCACCTCAAATGAATTGGAATCTTCATCTTCTATGTATATATACATATATATTCAAATGACTTGCCAACATATATATTGTATTGTATTTGAAAAGTGCCTTGTTGATTCATGTATTTATTGGTATGATTGATTGATTGATTGTTGGTGTTTTTACGCCACTTTTAAGCACCACTTTTGGGCTATTTCGTGGCGGTCAGTTTTTATTGGTATGAAAATCAAATACAATTCTATTATTTTATCAAATGTATTACTTACATCTTGACTGAATGTCATGGAGTCAGTTTCAGCTGTACTGGGTTGTGCATCTGTCTTTGCAGAGGAGTCATCATCCTGTAAGAAAATGTTCCGTAAACAAAAATCTGTAATACATAACATTGATCAATTGGTGTTTGCTTGCTAAATATCTAGTGGAAAATACCTCATGCATATTCAAGATGAGAAAAATCTATGACCTTGACCTTGACCTCCGTTTAGTTACCTTAAATCAGTAGGGATTTTCATTTAGGGATCATATTAGCCACTGTTTGTTATACATATTTTTGTACTGTATTTGAAAAGTGCCGTTTAGATATGTATTTCATGGCAGGTATCTAATACAATTCTATTAATTTTATCTAATTTTATTAATGCATTTTTGATTTTGGCTTTGAACTAGCTTTCAGTAACTGCAGGTAGTTTTATATGGTGATTTGTAACTATTATTTTAATGTCGGTAACTTTTATGCATTGCACAGATCATTGCAATTAATTTTTGTTGAGCCTGCGACTTTTGTCGCAGAAAGCTCGACATAGGGATAGTGATCAGGAGGCGGCGGCGTTAGCTTACTTCTTAAAAGCTTTATATTTTAGAAGGTGGAAGACCTGGATGCTTCATACTTTGTATATGGATGCCTCATGTTACGAAGTTTCCGTCAGTCACATGTCTAATGTCCTTGACCTCATTTTCATGGTTCAGTGACTACTTGAAAAAAAAGTTAACATTTTTTGTAATGTTAAATTCTCTCTTATTATAAGTAATAGGATAACTATATTTGGTATGTGCGTACCTTACAAGATCCTCATGCCCGTCAGACAGTTTTCACTTGACCTCGACCTCATTTCATGGATCAGTGAACAAGGTTAAGTTTTGGTGGTCAAGTCCATATCTCAGATACTATAAGCAATAGGTCTAGTATATTCGGTGTATGGAAGGACTGTAAGGTGTACATGTCCAACTGGCAGGTGTCATCTGACCTTGACCTCATTTTCATGGTTCAGTGGTTATAGTTAAGTTTTGTGTTTTGGTCTGTTTTTCTTATACTGTATGCAATAGGTCTACTATATTTGGTGTATGGAATGATTGTAAGGTGTACATGTCTAGCTGGCAGGTGTCATCTGACCTTGACCTCATTTTCATGGTTCAGTGGTCAAAATTAAGTTTTTGAGTTTTGGTCTTTTTTTCTAATACTATATGCAATAGTTCAACTATATTTGGTGTATGGAAATAATTTATGATCAAAATGTCAGTCACGCAGGTTTTATTTGACCTTGACCTCATTTTCAAGGTTCATTGCTCAGTGTTAAGTTTTTGTGTTTTGGTCTGTTTTTCTTAAACTATAAGCAATAGGTCAACTATAGTTGTTGTATGGAAGGATTGTTAGCTGTACATGCCTGCCTAGCATGGTTCATCTGACCTTGACCTCATTTTCATGGTTCATTGGTCAATGTTTAGTTTACTTGGTTAATGTTAAGTTTATGTGACAGTTGTAATAAAGCTTTATATTAAGGACTATCAACATAATATCAATGATTAGTAAAGAAGGCGAGACATTTCAGCGTGTGCACTCTTGTTACAGTTTCTTGTTATGTTGGGCTGTCACACCACTGTCCTAGATTAACATATATTTAACCTGCCACCTTCTTGTCGGTCTTAAGTAAGGACCTGTAAATTCAGTGGTTGTTGTTTGTTCATTCCTGTTATATCTATTTCATCTTAAATTGTTATGATATATATCTCTCTTTCTTAATTGAATTTTTCTTATTTTTCATATAAGGGCCTTAATAGCCCTTTTTATACGACCGCAAAAAAACTTTGAGGTCATATATTGGTATGACGTTGGCGTCGTCGTCGTCCGAAGACACATTGGTTTTCGCACTCTAACTTTAGTTTAAGTGAATGGATCTCTATGAAATTTTACCATAAGGTTCAATACCACAAAAGAAAGGTTGGGATTGATTTTGGGGGTTTATGGTACAGTTAAGGAATTAGGGGCCAAAAAGGGGCCAAAAATAAGCATTTTTGTAACTTCCAGACATAACTTGTGTGTAAGTGTATGGATCTATCTGACATTGTACCACAAGGTTCCATATCACAAAGGGAATGCAGGGATTGATTTTGGGGGTAATTGCCTCAAAATTTTAGGAATTAAGGGCCAAAAAAAGGGGCAAAATACAAGCATTTTTCTAGTTTCATGACAATAACTTGTGTGTAAGTGTATGGATCTTTCTGAAATTGTACTACAAGGTTCCATATCACAAAAAGAAAGCTGGAATTGAGTTTAGGGGTAATTGCCCAAAACGTTTAGGAATAAGGGGCCAAAAATAAGCATTTTTCTAGTTTCCAGACAATAACTTGTGTTCAATGTATGGATCTCTCTGAAATTGTACTGCAAGGTACCATACCACAAAGGGAAGGCTGGGATTGATTTTGGGGGTGATTGCCTCAATATTTTAGGAAAAAGGGGCAAAAAACAAGCATTTTTCTAGTTTCATAACAATAACTTGTGTGTAAGTGTATGGATCTTTATGAAATTGTACTACAAGGTTCCATATCACAAAGGGAAAGCTGGGTTTGAGTTTGGGGGTAATTGCCCTTAACGTTTAGGAATTTGGGGCCAAAAAGGGGCCTAAAACAAGCATTTTTTCTAGTTTCCAGACAATAACTTGTGTTCAAGTGTATGGATCTCTCTGAAATTGTACTGCAAGGTACCATACCACAAAGGAAGAGTTGGGATTGAGTTTGGGGGTGATGAATCATAAGGGGGTTCAAAAAATTTGGGGGAGGGTTTTTTTCCCTTTTTTTCCTTTTTTTTTCTTTAAAATTTTTCATTTTAAATTGGTTATTTCTGATTTATATATAAAAGCAAAAATTAAAGATATGGTACGGTTTGAATAGGTAAATTAAATTTTTTTAAGTTCTTAGACCACATTCATTCTGTGTCAGAAACCTATGCTGTGTCAAATTTTTAATCACAATCCAAATTCAGTGCTGTATCAAGCTTAAATGTTGTGTCCATACTTGCCCCAACTGTTCAGGGTTCGACCTCTGCGGTCGTATCAAGCTGCATCCAGCGGAGCATTTTATTATGGTATGGATTTTTCTCATTGTTGAAGGCTGTACAAATGATGACATCAATTTCATTTGAATTTTGGTGGATAGTTGTCTCATTGGCAATCAATCTCATCTCCTTACTTTTGTACTTACATCTTGACTTAATGTCAGGGAATCATTTTCAGCTGTACTGGGTTGTGCATCTATCTTTGCAGAAGAGTCATCATCCTGTAAGTAAATGTTCTTTTTAACAAATAATCCTTAATATGTTGATGTTGTTTGGGATGAGAAAAATCTAAATAATTAGTCAATATCATTATTTATAGAATAGTTTTGGGGATCAACTGGGGAATGTACAGTAATTACTCTACTATTTTTACCAGTGTACTTGATTTTTTTGCAAGTGCAATCACAAAACATGTGTAACCCTATCACATTTTTTATGTGCATGTACCAAGCCAGAATCATGTTATCCATTAGTTGTAGGTCTTTGTCTACCATAATGTTTTTTGGGTATTGTTTGCTTTTGAATTGCTAAATTTATTTTCTTTTCAAGGCCTTTTATAGCTTACTATCTGACAAGGGTTAATGCCTATTGTCAAAGTATGTAGAACAAGTTATTCAAATTTTTATACTTTTGGTCTTTAATGGATATATATATAATGGAAATGTATTGTACCACCAGATACCTTATTTTCATATCTTAGAGATGAGTTTGTAGAAAGTATTGTCTGTGTTTCAACTTTTCTGATTTTCAATAAAATTGTCATTAATACATTTCCATAAATCTTTTTTTAAAGTTTACCTTAATTCAGCTTAAGAAGTTGGAACAAAGACATATTTTACTTACAATATTCATTATGCTTAAACAGCTGGATGTTTCTGTTTTTTCTTTCTCTGTTGTGTCCAAATCTGAATGCAGAAATAAATGAGAAATATCTAATCTTAAACATGTTAAAGTAAATACAAATTAGAATTACACAATAGCAACATACAAAATGAATAACAATATAAAACATCTCTATTCATTTTGTTAATCAAATAATTTAGGCATCATGGTGTTCAGCGGTTGCTATAAGTCTTGTATATATGTGCAAAAATATGCATTTTTTTAAATAATTTGTATGTCTTGTAATTTTTACAGTAAATATATAGCTGTGCCAAAAGCTCATGAGACACCAAGTAAACTGTTGCCAAAATGAAATGAAATATTTAGAAATCTTGATACCATTGGTTGCATGGCTGTATTAAAACTTGCAAGACTATTTGTACTATTTGTTTTAATTTTTTCAAAGCTCTCTACAACGATCAACATGTAAAAAAATGTCTTGAATCTGAGGTTAAATTCCAATAACACTTAAAAGACTTGTACAAAAAATTTCAAACCAGTGTGGTTATTATCTTAATTCAAATCGCGAATAATATGTTGTCTCATTGGCACTCATACCACATCTTCCTATATCTATTTCCAGCATGTATGTAAATCATTCCAAGACTAAATAAATAATAACCATAGGTGGATCCCCCCACCCCTTTTTGTGGGAAAAATTTGGTTAATTATTATATAGGAAATCACTGAAACATCAATGGAGTTGGCCCCCTCTTAGGGCAGTCAGAGGGTCCCTTGTGAATATTTCTGGATCTGCCACAGATAACAATTTGTAAACAACATCTAATATTTACAAAATTAAAGATTCAACAAAATGTACATCTATTTCTGTGAATTTAATATAATTACCTTCTGTATCCTCAATTGTGGAAGGAGCTACTTTTTTGCTGCAACTTCTGCATAATCCTGGAATTTAATATTTCAAAATAATGCAAACTACAGACAAGTTTACAACTTTATTATAATCTAAAGGTTCTTTTGTAAAACTCTATTGATTCTACTATGTTCGATTTTGACCTCACTACATGAATCATTTTTAAGTACCAGAAGTGTGCTTTCATGAAAAGAGTCACATTTGAGTACCAACAGTGTGCTTTCATAAAAATGGTCATATTGGAATACCAACAATGTGCTTTCGTTCAAAGATTACTGTAGTACCTAGGTTTTTTTATCATTAATCATTTTAATAATATTCATATAACAAATGTATATCTGCCATATTTTATTTTAATATTCATAATTTTAGTTTATAAATTATGTCATTAGTTATCTAGTCATGCTATGTTAGTTTGAATTATTTAACATTTTACACATCCGACCATTTATCATGTTTATACCATGATAGCTAACTATACAGTATGAGTTGTTCTCATTGTTGAAGGCTGTACAGATACATCTGATTAATTACTACCACTTTACTTGGAAGATAGTTGTCTCATCATGCTCACATGCAATCATATCATATATCCTCATGATTTATTTTAAAATTATATATATACTATGAAGTGAATTAAATGTAAACAAAAATGTGTACAAGTTCAGCAAATAAACATTAATTTGATTTTATTATGTTGAAAGTGAAATTACTGAACCATAGACATATTATATTACCTACACTTTCAACCCTTTATGATATATTTGTCACAAAATAAATGACTAAATAGTTACAACTGACAGATGTCTCATGAAAGAGATGAAAGCTCATTTGAGGGGTACTTGTGAATTTGATCCATCATCCATGGCAGTATAAAATGAAATAAAATTGGCATATTTCATATAAGATATAAAGCATGCAGCACTTAACACTGGTCAGCTCATAGTCACTATTTTCAAAGCAACATAATGAGGAATATAACCTTGTAAATCCATATTATATCTGAAAATTGATTTTTTAAGGAAGTACCACATTTTCACAAAATGCTATTCTTTACTAGATTAGAGGGAAAATGCAATGCACTGAATAAATCTAAAATCTTTGTTAACCTACCTGTACCCACTGGAAGAAGGACACCAAAAGACTGCAAAACATCACGACTTTCAGGAACTGTAATTCCTCTGTATGCTTTCCCATTCCCAGAATGAGATGGGTGGCTGCATGTTCTTTTTTGTTTAAAATAGATCCCCAGTTTATATCGATGATGTGGACACACTGTAATATCCCTGTACAAACGATCATCATACAGGCCGACTCTATACAAAATAAGTTCACCTTGTCATAGATTCTCCCAAACTAAAATGCCGGTAACAGCCTCCTGTTGCAACCCCAACACTCTTTAGGTGACTAGTCACGTCCTTAAGACAACACTTAATTTTGATAGCATCATGTTCATGCGGAAATAAATAATAACTTCCACACTCATCAGTTCGAAAGGCTGAAATTCCACATCTGAGTGTGTCGTCTGCCATTTTCAAGGCAAAAGTGAAAGTAGGGAGTAGTCCCGCAGAAAATAGACAAACTTTCATGAAAATTAATAAGTTATAGCAATTTAATGTTTAATCATATATTTCCACACTGAAAAATATTATTTAATAAATTGAAGTTAATCTGACCTTAAATTAAATTTTTAAATTACCTTAACCTTGAAATAATTTTGTTTGTTTTGATGAGTAGGAGTTAGCTCCCTTAGTCCATTTTTGAATTCATAACAACATTTGACCAGTGTATTTTTAAATAGGGCATATGTGCACCTGGTGATATTTTGAAGTTTTAAACAACAAATTACAATCTTCCATTTGACATCATTGGGTATAAAAATTGCTTAGGGATATTTTGTTTAAATGGGTCACTTATTTCAATAAAATAATAGAGAAATCAGTCTTAGAGGGGGAATTTAAAACTTTAGTGTTAAGAGGGAAACCATGGCTATAACTCAATAAAAATTTGCAAAAGGTTTCCTGCTTGCATGGTGCTTTAATCACTGAAGTTTCAGCAAATATCAATTATTTTGATAAATCACCATTACACAGCACTCTGCATGATTCTTAGGTGGACAATATAAAATTGAAAACAAAACTATAGTAAGGATCGTGTAAGACAACTCTATACGATTGTTTTCGTTTCCCCGTTATATTACCTTTTCCGTCTAAGTATTCGGAATCTTTGACAATGGTTTGTTGTTTGGATGAAAATAAATTGACTGGGGACTTTGAATTGAAGGTCCTGTTACTTGTATAGAAACATCATTCATTAGCTCTATGTTCACAAACCTTAAGTCTTATACCCTAAAGTTGCAGACCATTTTAGTTGAGGACATTATCTATGAATAATGCAAGTCTATTTTCGATAATTACAACCTTTGCACTTACTTTTAGCAGTTCTTTTGCTAGCATATTGTATTAATACGGCAGTTATAACTGGTTTATCTGCCAATTTTGGTTTCAAATGAAGTGTAAAGAAACTGTCATTCTATCTGCATGTAATGATAAGAATGCATAATGGAACGAGAACATATATATCAATGTTATTTGCACAAGAACCTCCTTTGTACTTGCCCGATTGAGCCGGATTTTTGTCGTGCTAGATAACCAGGTACAGTTTACGGAAACAATATCAAACTCATTAGTCTGATTCCGAGTACAAAGTAAAATCACAAAAATACTGAACTCCGAGGAAAATTCAAAAAGAAAAGTCCCTAATCAAATGGTAAAATCAAAAGCTCAAACACATCAAACGAATGGATAACAACTCTCATATTCCTGACTTGGTACAGGCATTTTCTTATGTAGAAAATGGTGGATTGAACCTGGTTTTATAGCTAGCTAAACCTCTCACTTGTATGACAGTCGCATCAAATTCCGTATATTGACAACGATGCGTGAACAAAACAGACACAATAGGTAACAAATAGGGGTACAGCAGTCAACATTGTGTTATCATCTTAATCACTATAAAAACAAACAAATGTAACAAAGAATCACAAAAAGGCATACATCAAATTTAACATCCTCATTTTGCTTTTTTATTATACGATTTTATTTATCTATGTAAAATCCACCCATAAAGGATGGAAGGTTTTGGCGTAGAATCGCGCGTTTTGACGTCACACAAGTAGATATAAAATAATTTTGTCGTTCAAAGTATGACGGGATACATAAGTACAGAGTCACGTCAAATGGATATCACAAAAAACACACTTATTAGTAAAAGTAATATTAATAAAGACAAATAAAAGAATACTATAACACGTTATTAAACTTTGGAATACATAAGTACAGAGTCATGTCAAATGGATATCACAAAAACAGACTTAACAGTAAAAGTAATATTAATAAAGACAAATAAAAAATACAATAACACGTTATTAAGATGATAAACAACGTCAGTACGCAGAATCTATACTTATCAACAAGGTCTAGGTACCTTCCGATGAACTTTTTTAGAAAAAGGACGAGACGTTGTTTGACCTACCCCTGGTTCTTCAACTTTCTGCTCAGACACTGGTGACGTTTTACAAAGTCTTAGTAGGAGCTGCAAGCTCTTGAGTACTGAATAAGTTAGGAAATGTATATCCCTTATGCAGGTGAAGTTGGTATATTGCTACTAAGGTGGGGGAAATTGATAATTTCAAAATTAAAATCGTCTGGTTTGTCATAGATTCTAGTACTGAGATGACTGTGTATGTCAAATTCGAGGTAAAAGTAAACCATTCTTTGCTTTTACTAAAAAATGCCGCATTATCCGACCTCTCGCACCCGTGGAGATAACGCGTTCACGAGTCATGTCTATGCGTTTGGAACGTACCTCTTAACAAACAAGTCTTAGCAATGCGTTAATTGAATTTTTGCCTGCTCGTTGATTGAATAGAAAACAATTCTTGATAATAATCTCCAAGCTTTACCCAAATATTAATTTGAAGAATTTGTGATAAGAGAAACAGTTCATATATCTGTGTACGCTGATCAGTTAAAACATCTAAATTTTAAATTAGCAAATTTTATAATGTTTGATTCATTTTTTTTTTATTATTGTAGGCATATATTCCGAATAGAATAGAGAAACTCGATGAACAGTTAGACAAAGTGTTAGGTTATCATAGCAAACATCATCATTTGCACGACAAATTTTATTTATCAAATACAGAAGATCCTGATAATGCATTTAAAAGTTTACGAACTGCAATCTTCGATACTGCAAGAAAAATGGATAATTGGGGTCAGGCTCTACCTATGAAGTGGATTCTTTTGGAGCATTTAATTGAAATAAATAAAGACCAGGGAAGAAATTTCATCAAATTTACTGACATGATCAATATGGGAAAACATCCTGATACCAATATACTAAAAGAGGAGGATTTGTTGATGTTTCTTCGATTTCAGCATAACGTAGGGAACATTATCTTCTTTGAAAATATACCGGATTTGATCATATTAAAACCCCAGTGGTTGGCTGATGCTTTCCGATGTCTAGTCTCAGATAGGGTTGAAGCCAAATTTCACCACCTCAGTGACTATAAATTGTTAAAGAATCATGGTAAAATAAGTAAATCGTTAATAAGCAAACTCTTTGAATCAAAAAAAGGAAGTCAGTTTTTAGGACAACAGGGGAATTTGCATCAACTTATGGAAAAGCTTGACATAATTGTCAAAGTTGATACTGATTTGTATATAATGCCAAGCAATATGCCAGCTTCGACGTTTGAAGATGTATGCAAAAATGTTGGTATTCGAAATACCGACTGTAAAAGGACTGCATGGCTTTGTTTAAAGTTTGATTTTCTCCCACCTTCTTTCTTTATCCATTTATCTGCGTGGTTTATCAGAAACTACAACCCTAGCACACTGGACAGTGATAATGGATCATTTGCCTTATACCGTGGAATTTGTATGTTTGACATTGATAGTTCTGGTTGTGTAAAGATTCTGGTTACAATGATGACTGATACAATTGCTCTTCAGGTTGTTTCGTTTTTCAAACAGAGAGATGTCGAAAAAACGTGTAACGATATTTACAATAAAGTGAAAGATGTAGTCGAAGAAATAAGAAAGAGTTATAAGGTGAAAATATCTTTTAAACTCCATTTCAAATGCAGTGATGGGGATTATTATAAAGATACAATTGTATACGAGACCTTGGCAAGTCAACAGGAGTACTACTGTCCTCAGCATAAGACAGCACATCAATTTGATTTGATATACTATCCATGGATGAAGAATGGTATCTTTAGAAAATGGTCACATTAACATTTTTATACATCAACTGACAAAATCTCTCTACACTAGTAACCATAATTTAGATTGATGGACCTAAATGATATTATCCCTCTTTGACATAGATAAGAGGTAAATTAAACAGGTTTAAAAAAAAATCAATGACTTTAAATTGAATTCAATCTTTTTAAAGTTATTTTATCCCATTCAAATGGATTAATCATAGTAATTTTGTATCCCCCTTTCTTACCCTTGCAAAAACTGTTTCGTACCCTGACCATTTCGTACCTCCAGGAATTATTTATATGTATGCCATTTCGTACCTTGTGGGAGATTTATATGTTTACCAGTTCGTATCTCACGGAAGATTTATATGTATGCCCTTTCGTACCATATTTCTCAAATTTAAAAAGTCATACCAAGTTCTTTGACTGATCAGATAAGGTGCAATTTCTTTCTATTAATGGCTTCCTTCTTGAGTAAATATTGGCTTGTGTCCCATTTCACTGCATTTCCTGTCAAAACATTTTAATAACTATAATAAAATGCTCTAGTAATTGTTCAGAATCAGAAAATCTTTGGTTTTTTTGGTCGCATTTCGGCCCTACTTCCTTAACATTACGGACAAAAACCCCTAAAATCAATCCCAACCTTTCTTTTGTGGTACGAAATCTTGTGGTAGAATTTCATGGAGATCCATTCATTTATACTCAAGTTATTGTCTGGAAATCAAATATCTTTGGAGAACGACGACGACAAAGCCATACCATTATACGGCCGCAAAAATTGCGGTCGTATAAAAACAGTTGCAGATAGTTATACCCTTTGTTGGTTAATTAAACTCATATTTTAGAGTTGAACAGTTAGTTAAGGATAAACACACTGCAAACAAACACAGTGTTATTAAAACTATTAAAGTTTCCATGTTCTGCTGAATTAAACTAAGCATAGGTCTGTAGACATGTTTCTACTGCTGGAAGCATCTTATTCTCATTTTATAATATTTTTTTTTAAATTAAATTCATATCAATTTTTTTTATATAGCATATTTCATCTATTTATCTAAAAAAAGATAAATTTAATTTTTTTTATAAATTTTGTTGAATGGGCAGTAAGAAGAATCGTTCCTTTTTGAATTATATATTTTTGTTTTACAAAATCTCCAAAACCGATGTTGGGATAAAATTTCAACGATTTACAAATATATGATACGATATAGTAAACATGAATTTAGCCTTTGAGGTACGAAGTTG